CCCCCCAACATCACGTTTAACGTCTCTAAGTGGCCCTCACTTTCACTCACATTAAAGACAGATTCTCACACACACACACCCTGGGTCTGGCCTTGCAGAAACACACACGCAATCTCAGGCACATTATCGAAAGCTGTTCCTGGTGCGACAGCAGAGCTGCGAAATCCAATCTGTATGGAAGAGGCCTGGCCTGGTCAGACGAAACTAGTTGTTACTTTACAGAGGGAGGCCGTAAATCACACAGTCACAACTGCCTGAGAGGGTGAGGATTCAGAGAATACCACCACATATGTGTATGTGTGTGTGTGTGTTGCCATACTCACTGCCTGGGCTCTCTCCAATGCTGCTGTGCTTTCCGTTCCAGTACCACAGCAGCAGGGTGGCATCTCTGGAGCCGGACAGGATGTAGCAGTCTCCTCCGATGTAGGACTCGGAGCGAGCCAGACAGGTCACCACGTCTCGATGCCCGAACACTATCTGAGTGAGTTTGCCTGCAAACCACGCACAAAATCAACAAGTTTTATTTATTTATTTATTTTAACCAGTCAACTCCATTTGTTTGGTTAGAGCATTTTATACAAGAGAGACGACTGCACGTTGTTTCCTAAATATCCAGCAGCCCCGTTAGTCGACCCACGCAAGATTAGACTTCTGTTAATTCCCAGGCGAGGATAAATATTTGCTCCAACTTTGAACATGCCTGTGCGTGTGCAGCGCGCACCAAGTGTATATATAAAGAGGCTAATTGCTGTCAGATTTCAAGACCACAGCTCCACCTTCTAGCTGTCTAATATTCATTACGCTCCTAACGGTGTGACCTCTGCAGTCAAACAGTGGATAGTTTGCAACACATGACATTTCTGTCCGGGTGTCGGAATCACTGCTCACTGGATAATTAAGCTGTTTCTCCCGAAAATGATGGGGATCATTATGAAAGCGGGCGGGTCGGAGACTCGACTTCCAAAGAGGAACAGAGACATCAAAGATGTGAAATGTTTGACAATCTTATAAACAGTGAAAATAAGTAACGATGGCTGCTGCAATAATGGCTACCATGCAGCTCAGCTTGAACACGTGCTCGTTTGCTTGCTCGCGCACACACACAAACACACACACGGATAGATTGAACTGGGTGTGTTTGCATGCTGGCAGATAAGGCTGTGCTTTACGCTTGTGTACCAATCAAGTCTTGTAATTGATAAAACCCTCCGGTTCTTTAACCTGGGGGGAATTGGGGACACTGGCGGCAGCTGTTGAGCGATTAAACCGTGTTCACGTTCCAGTCGCACACCCTGGTGGCAGCAGCACAATAGAGCTATCTCTGTGCTCCCGTCCCTCCTTCAGAAGAGACAGGGAGGGCTTGGCCTGGAGAGAAATTGAATTGGAGTCTGTTGTAAAGATGCATGTAGTGTTCTGAATGGAGCTGGGGGGGGGGGGGGCAGTGAGGAGTGGGGTACAGAGATGAAACCTCAGACGGTTTCATTTAGGACCCCTGACCTGGTGGCATTGTGTGTGTGTGTGTGTGTG